TGGGATGTTTTGCACACATCTTATCTATGCTTTACCAAATGATCTACACAAAGTGATTGGCAAAAGAGTTCTCACAAATGAACAATTCACTCCATGAATTGGCATAGAAAAAAAATGTAATTCAGATAATGCCATGGTGATCCTGAGTTGTTCTCTGAGGTAAAAGATGTCACCTTCCTATGCCCTAACATTTAGGAACATCTCCTAAAATACAGCACTCTTCTTTGTTCTCAGCAGGAGCAATTCATACACTTAGCAACTTGCTTCCTAAGAACTCTTAGTCAAACAAGATAGTTTGAAGTTGTAATTATTGCACACAGGGGCTGACAATCTGTCTCCACAGTATTCCATAATGGGAACAAAACTTCTTTTTCTAGAGCAAGGGACAAAACCGAAGCCTTGAGACCTTGCTGCCTGGTGTATTTAGAGTCCTTGCAACCCTTCACTGTCAGAAGTCTGTGGCCTTTTTCCTTGCTTCCCATTCACCCTGACAGACTAGGTTTTTGCAGTGAAAAGATTCAGCTCTCCTCACAGACATCACAGAGTACAGAATTTCAACCCTCAAGTTGCCTTCGTGCCATGTCTTCAAACACCTGTCTGATCTTTTCTGACAATGCTGATGTTACAAGTCTCCAGTTATGTAGTTATCAGCCATGTATTTAATTGGAACGTGCTGGTTTAAATCCAGCTTCTACTTGCATTCCTGCCTTTGTACTTCCACAACTAATTGTGAACACAAATACTGCTGCTCAGCAGTTAATAAAACTGATTGCACTAGCATAAAATTCATTTTAAAAGTCATTAGAAATCAGGATCATTAACATGGTGCATATTTTTGCACAGCCTGGAAACCTTCTGCTGGTAAAATATGCTGTGCAAAACAAACCCCATGCAACAGCTTTTGTAAATTTGCTGCCTTTTCTTTCCTTCCCCCCATAAAACTGTGTTTCTAGCTCTGATGTGATGTCCCGCAACAAGAAGAGCAGATCAGATACCTTATATTTTTGTATGAAGTAGAAACAGGGGTGAAGCATTTTCTGTAAAAGGCAGATACTTGCAGTTGGTTCTTGACAATGATTTCAGCAATATTTTTCTGGCAATAATTTGTCTAGTCAAAAAAAAAGCTGAAAAATACAAGCACAGAAAAGTAAAAGTCTCTGGCCTGCCTATTTATAGATAAGCAGCAAAACTCATCCTGGTTGCAACAGTGCCATCTCAACCTAAGATTACCGACTGTGGGATACAGCCTCTCTTCCACTGGCAGAGTCCAAACTCAGAGCACTTGCTTCCCCAAAATGGTATTTTATCTGCTAAATTGAAATTTCTCCCATTTGAAAGAATTTCTCCAGCTTAATGTGGCACTGCATGTTACTCTCACAATGCTGAGAGATCCTGTTAATCCCCTTCTTCTTTGGCAGAAGAAGATAAAAGATAGAGGCAGATGGACAATGAAATACAAGGCAGTGGGGTAGGGCTGTGGTTTTCCAAAATCTATGTCGTACCCCTTTGCTTAATGATAATCTGAGAAACAAGCTGGGTGTTACGTGTCATAGCAGAGAGTAAATACCCTGTTCTTTGGGCAAATAACCGGAAAGGAAAAAAGGGCATGGAGAGAGACTCACCTTGGGCACAGTGACAGTATGGGGATGGCCTCAGAAGCACAGGGCAGAAGCCACAGTTTAAAATAGCTTTGATTCATCTTCTTATCATCCTCATTTTGATCTTTCCAGAAACCAGAGGGACTTGCCTGGGATGCTCTAGTGACAGCCCAGCATGGTCCCTGCTGTGCCAGGAGCTCCGAAGCGCTGCAGCCCCACATCACCACATCCAGCCTGGACACTTCACCCCAAAGCAACTTGCATCCATCACACTTTGGTCATCCTAGAAGCAAGGCTAGCCACTTCACTGGACAAAACCCAGGAAGTGGTGGCAGGCACCAAGCAAACTCACGGGTAGCCTTAAAGGAGCTGTTGAGACTTCAATGCACAGTGAGTCCAAAGAGTCTTTGGAAGCCAGTGCCTGTGATCAGAGTACCCCTGACAGACTTACCAGTCAGTAAACTGCATGAGGAGAAAAACATGTTATCATTTGCCAAAAAAAATAAGGCTTCTAAAAAGCAATGATCATGCTAAGAAGATATGGGGAGGTGCTGGGTCTGGATCTGATCTTTCTACCTTGCATTTGCAGCCTATACTGCTCACTGTCTTCAGACCCAAGGGTCTAGTCTGCCTTTTAACTTGTAATTCCCTAATATATAGACAGCTCATTGAATATTGGAGATCCCCTCTCAGAATTTAGTTCCTCTATTGATGTCTAAATGTTATAAATTGTATATGTCCATCTGCAGGAGATAGAAGCATTTACAGGTATTTAGCAGTGAAAGACACTGGATTTGAGAGTATCTCAACAGTTCTCTGCACTGAAATCTCAGAGCTGAATCCAAACTAAGGTTTTAAAATCCTGAACAACTTATTATTCTTCAGATTGTTTCATTAGGAAGAAAATGCAAGTTCTTTCATGTAGAGTTACTGATAACAAAGGCTGGCTAGTGCTGAATGCCCTGCTGAATTCACAGTGGGGTTTGTGGAGCAGGATTGTATAGCAACAAATGCCAACTGCTTAATGTCTCACTGAATTATAGATTTTGGAAGACTGTTTAATAAGAAAGAAACTAGTTAAGGTGGTTTCCAGTGAATTTTACATGTGTATAAAAAGCACAGGACTGACATTGGCAACGTATCTTGGGAGGATTAAATTATTGTACCATACTCCTGGATTTGAATCCTTACTGATTCATGCATTACTCCCTTAGTTTATGTATAAAGATATCATTAATATACACAACATTCAGTAGGTCACTTTTTAAAAAGGCCTTTTTTTTTTCTGTAAGTAAATGACTTTTTTTTCTATAAGTAAATGACATTTTTTCCTCCATGTCTCATGATTTTTCCTCTGAAGGTGTTATCACATTTTCAAACAGAAATGACTGCACTGCTTTGTTCACTTTGTACTCCAGTTGTTTGTATGATTCTGTGTTTATCATTTGAATTCAATTAATTTGAATTAGGCCACGACATGAAGCTTTAAGCAGTTCTGCATTGGTGAAACATGAGGAGGTCCTAGTTCATTCAGGATCTCATCCATCACTGGGGTTGGAGTCACCTTCTGCTGCAGCAGGTATGCTCAGCATGGTGCACAATTAATGTCATAGTATTCCTCCGGATTTATTCAGCATTGCCTTCTGATGGGTTCTGCTCTCAGTGGCTGAAAACTTACACCAACTTTATACAAACTCCTGCCATTTCCATCCACTCAGGATTAAAGCGAGCTGTCTGCAAGATTAAGCTCTACAGAAAAGAACAAGTAAAATAAATGAGAGGGCATCCAGTCCTTCTAATTATTGTGCTTGTGTATGCACACGTAGTGCCTGTGTGTGCACGCATATGTGCGTGTATATGCCTTCTTATTAGCAGCAAGGCCACTACAACTACTTAATAGTAAAGTCATACGGGATTTCCCTGCTTCATCTGCTAACAATTTTGCTAGACCTCAACATGGTGGGCTGAAGTATTCTGGGCAGATTTTCCTGCAAGCTATATCCAACACCAGACTGTCCTTTTTTTTTTTTTTTTTCTAAGAACAAGTTTAAGGAAAAAATATACCAGGGCCTTGTCTTCTTGAAAGGTTAGCAGATATTTTTCTACTCCTGTGTAAATCAACCCAAATTTGCCCATGTTGCACACCTTCCCAAGATCAAGTCTGAGCACACTTTGCACAGGAAAGCAGTCAAATTCCCCAGAGAGACTATGCTTTCTGGGCACTGTCCCCACTGAGGTGCTCAGCATTGCCCAGCAGCTATCTCATCCGGGGATGGTCACTAGGGTTGGCAGCACAGCCCCTGCTTGCCTTGCTCTCGGTGACATGGGCATGAAACTCCCCTCTTCAGGAGGAGGCAAGGATGGGGAGTGGGGAACTAGCTGTCTACAAATCATCTGCTGTGGAGGGGATGAGCAAATGTGTCTGCCTGTGGCACATTTGCTCAAAAGGAGATGCTCAGGCCTCCGGTGTCTCCACTGTCAGCAAATAGCTATGATGGCTGCTGGAGAGACTTTGTTAGCACTGGATCACATAAAGGCTGCTGCTAATGCTAATAGCTTTCAACAAAGGTATTTAGCAAAGATCTTTGGTGGATGAAATTAGTGGAACCTCTGAACTGTTATCTTTCTGTGTCTTTTTGTTCCACCTGGAAAATAAAGATAACAATGTCCCTCATCTTAGACAGGAAAGCAAAACTCACCGCTATTCACCAACCACTTGAAAACAATAGCAGTGACTGTCCCTAAAAAGCTGCTGATAAAATTAATAATTATGTATCAGAACACAGCTTGAGTAGAGTGCAATACCCAAGCCATGGGCCATGTGCTGAACTATCAAGATAAAACAGAATATTGAAAAGCTGCCCAGTAAGTGATCCTAATCCATCCCAGGCACCTGTGGGTAAAAACCATGTAGCCATAAAATCGAGCACTCATTGCAATGCAAACCAGAACAGAACTCAATTAAACATGCACAGGCAAAATTGATTCTAACACTTCCTAAGTTTTAAGGGTGTGATTTTGTAAACAATCATGTCCTTTCAATGTGTATTTCTTAACATGATATATGTATATGTGTTCTGGTGTGTACAAATACAGGTTTGCATGCATACTTACATCCCTGATTTGTCTTCCACCTCATTCTGGAAAAAAATGGTGCCTACAACTTATTCGAGGAAGAAAGAGAATGAGAGAAGGAATGAGGGAAGGCAGTCAGGCAAGAAAAAGAAAGGAGAAAGAGAGGGAGAAAGAGGTGAAGGAAGGCAGGAAATAAGGAAGGGAGGCAGGAAAGCAAGAAGGCAGGAAGGCAGGGAGGCCTGGAGGCCAGAAGGGAGGAAGGGAGGGAGGGAAGGATGGGGGAAGGGAGGAAGGAAGGAGCACTACTTAGCCTGTTAAAGTGAACAGTACAGTTAGTGATCTCCAGTGCTTTAAACAAAGCAATGGATTTACAAGTGTGCTTATTTGCATGTTCAGCCTATTTCCAAAGCCAGACATATTACGTGCCTGGGCATATGCTTACTAACCTGATTATCATAGCAATCTCGAAATCTTGATCACACACTAAATTGGTGCAATGGTCATGAATATCCTTGGGTGCACCATTGCTTATGTCAGTAATTTCAAAGTTCAGCACATCTTTAAATTCAGTACACTGAAGACCACTGAGACAACCACTTTCATCTGTAGAGACAGTTCTTCCTGTGCAGTTGAAACCACCTCAATAGATTGTGCTTGCAACCCTCCTAAAAATTCCCCAAATTGGGGTGCTTGTTTTAGCTACTTGGAAAATCACTCTTGGGAAAAAATCAGCTCTTCTCTGGGTTTTGCTGCAGGGCAGCAGTAGCAGATTAGCCATCTGCAGCAGAAAATTGACAGCTATTGTAGCTAAGGCAGCAGTAACACGAAGGGGAACAGTTAGAAGGAAGAGTCCAAGTGTGCCTGCAGGTGTCCTGAAATATGTAGCCCCACTGACTAGAAATCAGTAAAGCATTTGCTACTCCCAGTCACTGCCACAGTGGCTTTGCTGGGTTTCACAACAGGAGGGATTTATTCTTGACTTGACCCCTTGACTTGACTCTGTAGAATCCTTGTTAACAGACTGCTAAGTATCTTGCTAGTGACCATGCCAGATACTGTGGGGACATGCTTGGTCGGCTGCCCACAGTGTATTCATGGAAGAGGACACCTAGAGACAGACACCGACCTAAAGTACCACACCTGTGGGAACTGAGAAAATACCATCACACAATTTTTTCCCTGCCAGAATTATTCTCTAACTGGCCATAAATAAAACGGCCCACAATAAAAATTCAAAGTCATTATTTTGAACATTTTAATAATTTTGGATTACTAAGCAATTTGCACAAGTTAATTGGAGGCAGTAAGATAAATGCAGTTCTCTACCATTAAATCAAGACAAGCCTTTAGAAGAATTCACAAATACCTGTAGCAAGCACATATCTGCCTTGCAATCCTGATGTTTCATCCACTACTGAAATAAGAACTTGAAGCAGACGTGACATGGCAGTGCTGTACTTACTGAAAGTTACTGCCTAGGCAGGTTTGTCCAGAGTTTCCTAGTGAAACTGCTGACCATCCTATAATCCAAATATGGTCGCATTAAATCCTAAAAGCCACCTTCATTACTGGAAACAGAAGAAATCCTTCCTTTTTCTTTTGGACAGGAATTAAAGCTTACCTAGTAAACACCAGTGAGGATTTACTACCTAAATGACTTCTTCCTGTGGTGAACTTCTCAGTGACCTGCCTGCCAATACTAATGAAATTAACCCACCTTTCTTGTTCTGAGCAGTGCCTTTAAATTCCTAATTGAGTCCTTACGGCCATGTGCCATGCCTGACCAGTCAAAGATCCTATCTCTAATAAATTTAGACAATCTCAAATTTTGAAAAAGAGTACAGTAGCTACCTCTGAACCTGGTGAAGGCAATAAAGTTGAAAAACAAATCTAAAATAAAAATGCTTATTTCACCTGTCTGGAACAAAGCTTGATAATCCTAAAATGAATGTCACAGCTATTTCAAAGCTAAAATATAGGCAACTCATTGCTAATACTCCATGTGAAAGCAATGAAGCAATTTTTACACCTAAGTAATGAAAGTGGGCAGTGAGAACACCTACAAATTAAAAATATTTTCTTAAACAGACACCTTCTGACTAAGATAGAAATTACAATAATTTTTTGCTTCACTTACTATACATAAGTATAAATGTAATGCAATGCAAGGGTGTCTGATTTGCAGTTATTTGGGTCTATAATTGATACCCACTCCAGCAAAGGATTAATATATCAGAAAAAAAATGAAAAAACTATGTTGGTGATGTAGGTTATTTGAAATATAACGATTTTCCTGAGCAGCCAAACTCCTTGTTCCATATGTTGCTATTACAAAAGCATATATAATGTGAATTACAGAAAGAAACCAAGGATTGTATTCACATTCAGACTTCTAACTGCTACCATTTAAAAGGGCCATAAGCTACCTGTAGATACAACTCATTCTTTTCCTACCAGTGCATTTAGCGGTTTATTCATCCTGGGGAAGTTTATTTGTTATTTTGCAGGCTGGACTGCCCTGGAACTTTGCAGGTTGCTGTTCTGAGTGGAGTTTGATTTCCTGCTGTCTCTCTTCATCACCTCTCTCTTTTTGTAGATTCTCCTGCCATTCTCGTGCTTGTATCTCTGAACAGTGAGCATGCTTTTCACTTTAAAAATTACTCCTGCTGTGAGCTCACTTAACAGGATTGGACATTTGTGATTTTGCTCTTCAGCAGGTCTTTCCGCTTTTGAAGGAAGAGTTCAGGGCTAGCCACTGTGTTCTGGCCATTGCTGCTTCCCTGCAAAATGAAATTCATTTACACTTGTTTTTCTGTGCTGCCTCCTTGTCTTGTCGGTTTCGAGAAGTGCCAATGTTTCTGGGAGGCTGTATGCACGGATATTTGTTTTGCCTTTTAATTGTGACTCTTCACCCAAGAGAACCCCTGTTTGTGGCAAACACCTTCTGGGCCTGGTAGCCATCAGCACTGGGGTTTCACATTGGAGGATCTCTGCAGTGGAGTCTTTCCAGGCCTAGGACTCCCATGGAGACAGTGATGTAGGTCTGGGTTTTCTCACTGCAGCACCTGGATGCTTTCTTTGTGAGGGAACCTGCTTCTGATAACCCCTGTGGTGGTACTTCTTGAGAGATGTTGCACTGTATCCCTGCTGTACAAATGTACTTTGATGCCTTAAAAACCCATGTACTGCTGGTCATTCCTCATGGCATTATACCAATCAGTGATGACTAGCAAAATTGCTATTGTTTGCTCTACCTATTGGGCTACAACCCTGTGCCATATTGATGATAACTACGGCCTGGTAAAGCACCTTAGTCCTCCGTGACTAACTTCTGTTCTGCTCTTTTGGTCCTTATTTCATTCACTGTAGGTCCAACATGTTTGTTAATTGATGCTCAGTTGTCCTTCTCAGCCTAACATGCTTACATAGGATGAAGTGTCTGATGTACTTCATCACTTGAAAGAAACACTGGAGCCTAGAAGCAGAGATATTATCCTTTCACCCCGCCTTTTACTTACTGCATGGCAATGCTATTTCCATGGAGGTATTGCAGTGTTCTTTAAAATGCAGAAATGTGGGTTTCATTTTGGATTTTTCAGAGCTAGGAAATCTCAACAGCTTCTCCCTTTTCATCCTCATGGAGTGATATGTTCCCTCATGATGAAGGTGAGGGATTGTTATTGCCTTCATTTGCACAAACATAGGTGGGAATAGCATGGGTAAAGCCCTTTTCCACAGATGTAGATAATCACGAGTTCAGGGCTTCCTGAACCATGCTTGTACATCAGCTCTCCTAAATAATGCTCTTATTTAGAAAAGTTGTTGTCTACATTAGCAAGTACCATATAGTACAGGTGAAATAAATAAACTGGGAACTGTGAATTACATGTTACTTGTCACTTTCAGACCACATATTCAGGCAGTTCTTTAGCTTATCCATTGGTTTCTGAAAGGTCAAAATTTAGCTGGATTTTTCCACCCCTTTTACAGTAATACTACAGATTTCAGTATGATTTAAGGGAATCTATCCCTGCTCTCTGCAGGCTTAGGATGCAATATTACAATATTTTGTCTTTTACATGCCACTTACATTAAAAGTAACATTGGTGTAATGGCACTATTTTTGAAACCTTCTACTAGAAGGTGTCAGGACTACAGTCTCAGTCATCAGGCTTTTACATTACCCAGGAGAAAGTAACTACAAATGCAGAGATATGAGTTTTATTAGGGACAAGATCAGAAGAAGCAAAGCCTCTATACTGCATTCTTAGCTGCTGACTTTAAGCAGCACCCATGCTAAGGGATTGCTCCCTAGGGCTCTATGGCATGTGAGAGCAAGAAAGATGTCTGAGGATATACACTTCAGAGAAATAGCAAGGAAGGTTTTGGGACTGCAAATATAATGAGCTGAACTCACCTTTGTTACACCAGTACAACTTCCTCGGATCTCAACAGGTTGTGCAAGTGTAACAGGAATCTGAGTGTTTCACTTCGCACATCAGCACTGAAATTTGTTGCTCTAAGAGGAGCCTGTGGGAAGTGATGATTAGACAAGGTACAAAGCTTCTTTTGAAAAGAGAGGGATTTTTGAAAGCTAGGATAGAGGTTCAACAAATGAGAGTGGTATCAAGATGCAATAGCTATAGAAAGTAAAAAAAAGCTGAGGATGTGATAAGAGAGATACATAGTAGAAAGCTGACTGCTAGAATAGTGCTAGCTAAGAGGAGGCTAAGAATACTTCACTGCACACTTAATGTTACAAAGGATAAGGCAAAGTAGCTTAGTGTGCTTCAAGTCAAAGCTAAAGATGGTGTCCGTGACCATAAATGGTATAACTCCTCTATGGAAATTTAGTGGAGATTTTTAACACTGGAACATTCTGCTGAAATAAGCACATAGAAATCAGATTGTCCTGGTTTTTTTCAGAGGTGTTCTTGTCTTTTCACAGAAAAGCACTCTTTGTCCTTCCTTAAGTTGTTATTGTCTGTCATTGGCCACTACCATTTAAAAAGCAGTGTATTTCTATTAAGTGCCTTTTGTTCTCAGAGCACCTTGAAAATAAAAGAAATGGAAGGCTTTATAAAGCCTTAGGTGTTTTAGTGTTCAACCTAAAGCTTTAGTTTTATGAAGAGAAGTCTCTGGTTTTCTAATTTCTCTTCCTTACCTTTTAAGCTACCTTTAATAAAAACATACGTTGAGTTGTTCACACTAATATACACACACAGCACCCTGGTTCAGTCATGATTCTTATCTCTTGTTTCTGATGTTTGTGATACAGCCCTTTATTTCTGTTTCAGAAAGCTGAGAGGCAAAAGTAAGACTTTCTGTACCAACACAGAAAAGACAGGAATGTTAAAAGCTGTACAACAGATTCAGAATAGACAGTCACCTGATGCCTGTTTCATTCCTGGATTTATGCTGAAATACGGGGTAGAGTGCCAATGCATATGTTGAATGCATAAAATCTGTGAGGCTGTCTGTCAGGTGGGAATCAGACAGGAAGCCTGGAGCAAGGATACCCATAATTATGCCGTCAAAAGGCTTGCAATAAGCAGCAGAATATTTTATTTGCCGTCAATCCTACAAAAAGTCTTTCATAACATCTGTGTCAGCAGATTCCAGGTCCCAAGAGGTGCCACTTATTGAAAGTAGCAGAGAACTCAGTAAGGGTTTGTTGTGTATTTGACAAGTACACTCAGTGGAAAACCTCACTGGTTTAATGAAGTTATAGGTGGCAGAGGACATCTCAGTTTTGCCTGTGTTTGAGGCATTGTTTCAAGGTGAGTTGGACTTTCATGTTGATTGATGCTCAGTTAATTTTCATTGTTAGTGATTCCTGTTATCTATCATTTGTGCTTCAATAGCAGGTAAACCCTTTGGTCAGCCCCCTTTAACCCCAATGCTCTTCAGTGTGCAAATGCCTAAGTCACCTCCCTGCTAACACAAAAGCCTGGGAAAGGACATGATAATGGGGCACTGCACCACATGGTCATTTTCCCCCAGCTAGCAGAGACCAAGCTAACATGGATGCTGTTAGTATTTAACAGCTAAGGTTGTTCTCATGAGCTGCAGCACCATGGATGAGCTACATCACCTCCAGGTGCAAGCTGGCTTGTATCTGACGAGTCTGCATGCCTCTCCATGCCACATCCTTCTGCACATCCAGGAACTAGCCCAAAGAAAGCCAGTATTTCCACATTAGTCATGCCTGCTGAGATGTTTTACCAGAGTAGAGCACTGTAACATAGCCACAATAAAATAGCCAGAGTCCAGTTACCACCGCTATCTACTGGAACTTCTGTTTTGGAGCAGAATACAGTTTGTTGCCCTTTCTCTGTCTGATATTGCAAAGTACATCCATACTAGTAGATAGGGATCGTTCACTGGCCCTGAGGTCCACTGACACAGCACTCCTCTAATCCATATGGCTAAACTCCTTTTCAAAACATTGGCCACATCTGGTCTGCATTTGGGCATGTCTTTCACCTTCATTAACCTTCAGGCTTTGTCTGAAACCTGGGATGACTGCTACCCAGCACAGGCCAAAACCCTCTCGGGGACCTTGCCATAGAAATTCCAGTATGGATGGATGATCCCAGGCAAACACACAGACCCATGCCTTGGCCTGGGCCACTGGCATGGACAAAGCCATACAATACCGCTCTGTGAAGCTTCTGGCTCTGCTGTGGTCATATATGACAGAGCTGAAAAGTCTGAACTTTTCATTTTGGTGACTGTAAAACAAAGCATCCCACCTAATCTTGAAGAAGTTGAAAAGAATTCGTAAAATACAGCTTGCCATTTGCCTTCAGTGTGGTCGTATATCTTAATTTATTTCTCCTTCCTTGGTAAACCACTCTGAGGTCAATAGTATCTAATTCAGCTAAATTGTGTTATAAAATGTCTCTTTTGACAATTTGTAGTTACGATGCAATTATCTTAATTTTGTCTCTGATGAGTCTCTTTCATCGAGTGAGGTTTTGATCAACTGTACCTGTGCTTATAAAGAAAAAAATGCGGCATGCCTTGCTGAAGTTGTTTTCACTGGATGTGTCATATGGTACCTGCTCACTGGAGCTCTGCAAGTCGTATGTGAAGAAAAGATTCTGCTTGTCTGCCTGCTTCCCAGATCCACTGAAAATAAGCACATCAGACACTGAGTTGAGCTAATGGCACACTTGCTTCTGGTTGCTCACTTTTGTTTTGGGTTAATGTCATGCCCTGGCATGTAACATCTGGAGAGGGGAAAGAAAGATTTAATCAAAATAAAAATAGCTGGTTTAGGTTTAAGTTTTTCTTTTGTATTATGAAGTGCAGGAAGGGAAAATGAAAGGGTATCATTTGCTGTGACGACTGAATAGAATAAGAGCTGTGAATGCCAGCAGGTCTGCTCCTCACCCACAAATCCAGCGCTTCATTTGTTTGAGGGAAAGAGCTCTGCACACCTTTCCACTGAACCTCAGCATGCTTCTCAGTATAAACAATAGCTCATGTTGTTGAGGAGGCTTATCAAGAAAGTTATGTCTGTAATGATGGGGATTTTCATCTGGCATCCCCTGGGATTTGTGGAGCATTTGCTGCCCGTAAGTGTGGTGATAAGCTGCTCACTGATTAGAATATTCTATCTGTAGTGCAATTGGGCTCCCATTTCTCTGACATGTCTCCTCTGTATCTTAAAAATACCACTAGCACATCAACAGCTTATCACAAGGAGCTATATGAATTCAGAACATGATTCTTTCACAAGATTGTTCGGGTTAGGTGTCAGCATAGACTGAAAAAAAAAGGTGCTAGCAAGGGGTGAGCATAACAAGCATATCTCATAATCTTTCTGTGTTATAGCCCTCATTCTCTCATTCCTGTGCTTTTTGAATATCTATAGCTTTCAGTATCCCGGTGTCAGCTTTTGACTGTAGGCTCCTCAGGGCAAGTGTGCCTTTGCGTCAGTAATACACTTTACCCACTAATGGCACTGCCTGAGCAGTAATGAGTGAGCCCATTACAAGCAGCTGCAAATACAAATATCAGCAATAGTCTGGATGCTCTGCTCCATATCTAGATGTTTAAAACAGGAATGAATTACCTGGTTGCTCATCTGAATAATCACACAGGGGACCTGCATGCTTAACAAGTCTAATGTAAATCCACCAGCAGTCATAAAGCAGACTCTCCCATCATGCTGATGGTGTCTAATGACATAAGAGCCGTAAATGACCTCAGTGATAACTCCCACACAGAAAGCTGACATGTCTAAAACAATCAGCACTGTCTGGGTTCTCAGACAATGCGGTGGACACTGCCAGGCTCTTGAAAACTTCACTGCTCCTTCCCCAGGCAGATGTGGAGAGGGCCAAGGAGAAAAGGATATGCACATCAACATACCCTTAGCACTTGTCAACGTTGTTTTCAGTTGCAAAGGTAAAATGTCACCAGTGTTGAAGCCCTTGCCTAGAGAGCTAATAGCTGCTTGCTGTTAGGGCTTTCATTCCCTTTTTTAAAAACTCTTTTAAAATTGATACAATTTTGCTTCAGAATTGAAGCTGTCACAATATACTCATTAAGTGAGGGGCAGTGTCTAGCAACTGAGCTTTCCTGTGTTGTCTTAACACCAAATCTTTTCTTGTGCAAATCTAGTTAAAATACATTTAAAATATTAATTTTAACCACATTTATGTTTAAAAACTCTGCATTTGCCATGTGTGTGTACAGAAAAAAAGATTGTCCCAGACAGATACCTATTGTTCTGTTTTCTCTGCTGTATTTTAGCTGCTATATTTGTATTTTAAATAATTTCTGCAATTTTGGATATATCCTAATTCTCTGAAGCCTGTAGGGTGAGGATTTAACTCACCCTTTACCTCTCAGGGCACTGATGTCCTAACTCAGGTATGTGGAACAGCCTTGCGATTATTTTTTGACTTGGATAACCTCAAACCAGTTTCTTCTTTGGCTTTTCCCTCAAGCAGAGAGACCTTGGTTCACTCCTGGAAGCAGCGAAGAGGATTCCTCATGTCAGACCAGCAGGGATAGCTGACACATAGCAGCAATATGGAGCAAAATCTCAGGAAAAGATATCTTGATATGAGGGGCCCACACAACAGAGGAAGAGATACCTTATTTCTTTCTCAGTGTAAGCTAAAATTTCTTCTGTGCCTTTTTTCCCCATACTGCTCAGGTCAAAACTTCCACGAATTGCAATGTGAATTTTTATTTTATAAAATATTAAAGGGCTGTCCCATCACTATTTGCATGCCCATTAAAGCACTTGTGCAGGAAAAACATTTAACTTGGTATCTCAAAAGTACTTTTAAATTATTGTTTCTGCTTCTGAAATACTATTAAAGAGGCTCTGTCATGAAGATAAAAACTTTTGAAGAAGCTTTTTTCTGTGAAAAGTTTGCTTCGTTTAGCTAAGGAAACCTTCACACACTAGGTGCTTCACATTAATGGCAAGCACACATACCTGCAGCAGAGCTATCATGAACAGCATTGATAGACCTTAAGGCAATTTAGTTCAGCCAAAGGAAGGA